TACTAAAAGAATTAAGGTATTTGTTTTTTAGTGACCTGTTTTTTAGTTTTTTAGCGACATGGAATTTAGGTATAATAGCAGCTGTTAGGTATGATAGCAGCAGTACTGTAATGTAAGAATACTTGACTAACCAATAAATGAAATCAGTGGTGAATTGACTGTTTTTTATCTTAAGTTAAATATTTTTACAAAGTTCTTCATCCAGAGACAAAAATAAAATATCTAAAAAAAAAACAAAAAAACTTCAGTGTTTATCACTTAAGTCAATAAAATGTTTAATATCTTAATAACACATCTCACAATGTTCTGCTTCTACAGATTTTTTAATAAAAGAAAATTTTTCAATTTCCTTCCCCATGCCAAATGTGCTTATTATCTAAGACAGGCATGGGCAACCTTTTTTTTTTTTTTTATCAGTGAGCTACATGAGATACAGTACATCATAAGGCAGGCGGCACTACTAAAAGAATTTAGGTATTTTTTAAAAATACGGCAGCCATTTTCCCAACAAAAGCATCTGCCTTAGAAATGAAGAAAAGTTGATTTTTTTTTCTTTAGAGAAAAGAGTCCTTGTATAATTAAAAAGAAAAAAAATGAAGTCTTGGTATAATATTATCATTAATGACAGCATGATTAACACGCATTTCTGCTTCCTGTGATTTGTTTTTAATTTATTCATTTGAGGAGATAAAAATATTTGTAAAAGAAGAATAATTATCATTGCTGTTTCCTGTTTCTGAAGCAAATGATGTTTACATGTATGATCTTCCTTATTGAAAATCACTAATGGTTAAAAATGCAAACAATGTTTCCTTCCATGAAAAATTCAAGAAACATTGTAATTAATCATCATTTATGGATGTGGTTATGCATAAGAGTTTCTGTGTGAACAAGTCATAATGAAAGGAAACAAAAAACATTTTAATAAACATTATTTTCTTCATGAAATTAGGCATGCCATTCAGAAAGCCAATCAGGCCACAGTTTGCTCATGACTGATTTAAATGTTTACAAATATATAAACAATCAATATTTATCTATCCCTGAACCAAATCATTGTTTACAGGCTCAAATATAAATAACCAATATTTACTTATCCTGAACCAAGTAAATACACTGGTACTTGAATGACAAATGTCAATTGAAAGAAGATGGTACTTTTTTAAAAAATGTCCAGTAACATAGCATCAGTCATAATGAGAAAAATAATGCTTGTCTTAGCAAAATTAAAACATGCCCTGCTGGTGGAGGCTAGAATATAAGGACTACGTCCCCTGCAAAAAAAACGTAACATACCCACGTAAAAGGTGCCACCTTACAGAATAAAATATAAACAACCAATATTTACTTATTTCCAAACCTAGTAAATGCTTAGAGACTTGGATATAAATGACCAATATTTACTTAATCTCAAACTAGGTAAATGGACTCAAATAACAATGACCAATATTTACATATCTCTGAACCAAATAAATACTCAGATACCTGCAGAACAATGGTCTTCAGAACCAAGCAATTTTTGTCCGTAGCTTAATATGTGCACATGCAAGGATGTCTACAAGATACTGAATACATGTCATTTACTATTACCATGGCAGCAGAAAAATGCAAGAATTGAACATAGTATCTGTGTGCTTTGCTTAGAACTGTTAATAGTGCCTTTAATTGAAAGTTTTCCCATCATAGAATCTTGAAATCTTTCTATTTACTCAATTTCTTATCCAAATGTAAACAAATCAATTTTTAAAGTAATGTATTTTTTTTATTAATCCAACAGATTTTATCACTTTAAATGTTATTTTTAGTGGGTACTCATATTTGAGTAAATGCACTGTTTATTTATTCATGAGCCTATGACAAGAAAAAAATTCACTTAAAGGCACTATTCAGCCTTGCTTGATCATAAAAAAAATTCTTCATAGCTCAGTCAATTAGAGCATGTCAGATCTAACAGTAGCTCCCTATGCCCTGACGGGGAAACAGGTTTATATATATGTGTGTATATATATATATATATATATATATATATATATATACTAATAGTAATAGTTCTTTGGAAAAAACCTCAGATAGCTCAACTTGTAGATATGTCAAAACAATCGGTACCCAAGGAAAAATTGGAAATAAGAAAAGAAAGAACTAAAAACATCCGAACAGGGCAAAATAAAACTCCAGTGCCTTAAGTCTTTAGTCCAAAGAAAAAAACCCAAGCGAGTAGTAAGACTAAAACATAGAGTGCTCAATACACTAAGTAGAGTGAGAATAAGTAAAATAAATTCTGAAGACCAAGGAAAACCTACCTAAGCCAGCTTACCTTTAAGATCCACTTAGGTGAAACCTAGGTAGGCCAGCTTACCCTTAAGATCCACTTAGGTGAAACCTAGGTAGGTTTTCCTGGCTCTTTAGGATTTATTTTAGTCATCTCACTAGTAAGACAACTCAGAATTTCATGCACAACACACTCTTCAGCTACTGGTTAGAGACTGACCATTACACAATTTAAAAAAAAAATTCAACAGCAGCAACCTTTACTTACTTTCAATTATTTGGCATTAAATTACATCATTTAGCATCTTCCATAGTTTACCTTGACTTTCACAATCTTAAGAATATTTTTAAATGTTCTTAAATTTTACAAACCTAGCAATGCTTTAACTTCTGTTTATAAATAGAAGCTGCAAAATAAAATTCTTTACATTTGGCTTGATAAAGTCCATCAGAGGACAAAATGTTTTAGTAAAGAATAATTTTCCTTTTGTCTTTATTTATATTGTCTTTTTACAGACATATTTTATTTATATCTGATTCTTTATCCCACCCCACACACACATATATATATATATATATATATATATATATATATATAGAGTGAGAGAGAGAGAGAGAGAGAAAGAGAGAGAAATGCACTGCATTTAATATCTGTGAATTGTATTACTAGCCATTTCTGTAACCTATGGTATCACGAACAAGTAGTATTTACTAAAAAATGTGTCAACCTTTCATTTGCTCATGATTACATATATATCAACACAGCAAATATTAAAAGTATACATAGAAATGCAATGCAAATGATTTTATTATGAGAATGCAATGCTATTAAGTTTGCTATAAAAATGCATTGCAAATGATTTTAATATGAAATATCTAGCAAATGATTTTAGAAAAGTGCAGGGTAAATGATTTTGGTATAAAAATGCATTGTAAAATATTTTATAAAAATGCATTGCAAATGATTTTAGTATAAAACACATGACAAATGATTTTGCTATAAAAATACATTGCAAAAAAATAAAGTATAAAAATGTATTGCAAATTATCAGTGTTTAATGCTATAATGTTAGAAAAACCCTAAAATTTATTCATTATATTATTGTTTTTTAAATCAATAAATTATTGAGTAATCATAGCATGAACATATTAATATCAATAAAAAGGTGTTTTATAATAAAACTGACTTTTTGTAGCTGGTTATTTTGTTCTGACAGAAATACGTGCATTACTTTTGATGGAACCTAACATTATTGATAATCATTCATGCAGTCTTTTCAAATAGTTTTATGCAAGTTATGCACAAACATAAATATTTGTGACTTTTTGCAATGTTTGACATCTGACTCATTAGTGACAAAATAGATTATACTGCATTTGGAATTATGCACAGCTTGATTTTTTCCAAAATGATAGATTTGGTGATTGGTCAGGAAATTAACTTCAATGTTGTGATGCGTGTCATCTTTGGGTTCTATATGTATATTGGCAATTCCACAGTAAGAACCTCAACACTGCATCATAGACTGAATGAATCACAGGTAGATTTTGTCAGGTCTTTTTTTATGCCCTATATTTCAGGAGTACATAGTAGCAAGGCAAGCATCATTTCTTGGCATCCAATCAGAGTCAGCCTTACTGTACATACTTGAAGAAACTCTCCTGCGCTCTGGGGTTACTCAGTCAGCGGTGAGATTTGTTTTAATACTACAATTTGCCCAATAAAAGCCACTCAAGGTAGAGAGTTATTGTTAAAATGATAATGGTGAATGAGGTGCATGATATAAATGAAAAAGAATGGTAGGAAGTAAAAATTATGATAAGGTTGATTGCTTCATTTGTTCTTTTATGGTTTATCAACCTTTTATGGGTTATTTCAAGCCAAAACATTTTGGATTGTAAGAATAATTCTTTTTTTTTTTTGCAAGTGAATATTGCATTAATAAATTTTCTTTTTAGAATAACAATGATTTTTTCCTATTCAAGTCCTATTATTTAAGCCACAGCTAGCAGGAAAGATGGATTCATGCCTTTCCCAAGGGCACTTGTGTTGTGTGTTATCTTTGGCTTCTAATTGTATATTGGCAATTCCTCAGTAAGGACCTCAACACTGCATCATAGACTGAATGAATGATAGACAATTTTCATCAGGTCTCTTTTTATGCCCTATATTTCAGGAATACATAGTAACAAGGTAAGCATCACTTCTGGGAGGAATCCAGAGGGAGAAGAAAATATAGAGCATGGATGCCAATAGATCAGCCAAATACTCATTCTTATGTGCTAGCTTGTCTTATTCGACTGAAGTTACATAATAGTAAAGAATCTGAGAGATGAAGGTCTTTTCACCCCCCCTATTGCTGCAATAATACTAATTGCTTTTGTGCATTTTTTAAAAAATAATAGATTGATGAATGAATTGATTCCCAAGGGAATTTGACAGTAGATAAAGATGGCCCCTAAACTTGAAAAGGTTAAGATTGTAGTATTCAGGGTTTTTGATTGTTTTATGTTTTATCAACCCTTTTTAGGTTATTTACAACCAGGAAATATTTTTAGATTATAAGAATTTGAGTGGGATAATAATGATGTACTGATACAATTCTCACTAATTAACCCATAGATGCAGGGGAGGATAAAATAATTAATACCTTTTTGCCTGGAATTGGAACGTGGCTCTCCAATTTCCAATTCCAAACCACTATCCATTACACCACTCATGAATACTGGCTTGAAGCAACTGGTATTCCCAAGCAGTTACCCATCTAGGTACTGACCAGGCTCTAAATTGCTTAACTTTGGTGATCGTACAAGAACTGGTATTTTAACATGATATGGCCATAAGCTGGTAGTGTTTGAGGAAGCATCCACATAGATTGTTGTTTGGTTGATTTTGTTTAGTGACATATAAAACCTCTATGGGTCATTCCATATTCCAAAATCTAAATATTTTGAACATAATTTTATCGCTTCAACTAAATATATTTTGAATGCAAATGTTTGCCTTCAACTACAGATAAAATGTATCATTTTACTATTAAAATGTATTGCTGGTATTTTTACTATAAAAATGTATTTTTATACTTTCATAGTGTTGCTTTTGTTTGGAGGGGTTCACTATTTGCCCATAGATGGGACCCAAACAGGTGGTACCACCCCAGGTCAAAGTGGACATGGGAACAACAGCAATTAAGAGGGGGTCCCACGCTCCTCAAAGCCTCCAATCTTTTGATTAGAGACCTTATTGCCAAATGCAGTTTATCATCATACCCAGGACTAGTCCACACAGGAGTTTGTTTCATAAAGTTGCAGTTCTTTGCAAGAAGCACTCTAGATGAAATTTTCTTGTTCCATTTGGAACACAGAGGAAATGAGGATGATTTGACTATGGAGAAGTAGCATGATATGCCCTAAATGTAAACATCAGAATTTGTGGAAGTAAGGAATGGCGCTCATCTAAACATTTGCCATGGAAATAGCAATAGAGTAGAGATATGTTTGCAATATTGCATTCTTGGGAAAGATGTTGTAGAGTAGAAAACAAGTCTACCTCAACAAAAGCACACAAACAATTTTGAATTCTGTGAAAACTAAAAAGAGATGATTATGTAGTTCCAGCCCAGATGTGGCAGTAATATTCCATTTTTGGTGTAATCTGAATTTTGTGTAGATAATGTATAGCAGAAGGATTTAGGTACTTCCTGGAGCAATAGAATGAACCAACAATTCTTCTATTAACTTTAGCAATGAATTGTATATATGAGTTCCCCTTGAGGTTAAGAGTGAGCTATAGTCCAAAGAGATGTTCAAAGAATTGAGCCTCATTGAGACTACAACTGTTCATTGTGACTGGAGAAAATTCAGGGCCTGGTGATGAAATGATACTCACTTGGTTTTTTGAGGTACTGAAAGTTGCAGGCTAGTTCATTCTCCATTGAGCTGTTAGAGCTTGGTCAGAGAAGAGATTAGCTGCAAGGCTCCAAACTTCTTGGTTTTTGGATGTGCATAGATGTTTATTAATAATCTGAAAATGTTCCAAGACAGAGTGTTAAAAAAAGCAAAAAATAGTACTGATGTGAGAGCCTTAGATGTTTGAATTGGTCTCAATTTATGAGTACCTAAGCTCTTGTAGAGATGTCATATCTGGAGAGTTTGTGTAGAAACTCCTTATGCCACACCAATTTAGCAACTTTGTTTACTTGTATCAACAAACTAATCACTGTAGGATGTTTCAGCTCTAACATGGCCCCTCTCATAAAAGATCAAACTATATACATGAATGTTTGTCCTTGGTTAGAATGATATACAATGTTAATTTACTTCTTATAATTGGCTACTTTGCATAAATAGCAATTGAATACTTTTCCTGGCAGAAGCCTCTAAATTCACTAGCTTTTAAAACCACTGACTGAGCTTGTGTACAGTGTGGCCGTTGTTCAGGGATATTACATAAAATATCACATTGCTCAGATCTGTCAAACCCACTCCAGTCCAGATTTGCTTTCCTGTGATTGTAGCTTTTCCCCAAAGCTAAAATTAACATTTAAATGGAATGGACAAGATTAAGGAAAATGTGATGTGACAGCTGATGGTGATTTTTTTATACTATAGTTCACACAATAAAAGGCTCAAGAGCCATTCAAAGTAGAGGGCTACTAAATGAAGTTGTCATAAAGGCAGACAAACAGGGAGTAAGAGGAGTATGTTATGAGGATATGTAGGATAGATAACAGTTCTAGGGAAGAAGTAGAACTTCCTCCTTATTAGCAGAATACAAAGGTAATAAGCATGAATTGACTTAGCATGTTGGATCCTAGCTGTGAAGGCTTGAAATGGTAGAACTAAGGAATATAGCTTGCCTGAACATCTGCAATAGAAGTAGCAATAAAGTAATGATATGCTTGCAATGTTTTATTTGTGGGAAAGGAGTTTTCAGGGGGAAAATAATTCATCATCCACATAATGAAATAATGCCTTTGCAGATAATTTTGAAAAGATATGCTGGGATATGATTATGATGTTCTAATCTAGTTGTTCCCAAGCTTTTTTTCTCTGGGCCATATTTTCTTAATGGAAGTAAGCTCACACCTCACCAAATTCATGTGATAAAAAGTACATTTAAAACTAAAAAGCAGGGAGAGGGTTGAAAGGAGATAAGATTCAAAGTCAGAATATTATCATTGATAACACTCTCCTCCAATTTGCAGACCCTAGTTACTATATTCCTCATACTTGATATAATACAAAAATATCACATTGATAAAATTAGTAAATAATTCTTTATAATTATTTATACTGGGACTCATGCATGCAATTACAAGTAATCCATAATAATATTTTAAATTTTGAAATCATATTTATTTTTGGGTATCCAAGTTTTTTTTTAAACTGTTTCTAAATCTTTGATTGTCTTTCAATCATTCCACCTCACCTGCTATCCTCTTCTGCTGCACCTATGAGGTGTTCTGCACCACTGGGAATCACTGTCCTAATAAAGTACCTTGAAGAGGACCAAGGTACCAAATGTCTGAGAGTATTCTTTTTTTTTTTAATATTAAACAGCAAAATATTTTCTGCCCTGACAGATCACACATGCTTACTCTTGAAAATATTTTTTTAATAAAGTACTGTAATTGATATCAAGAAAAATGTGTTTTCTATTTATGAAATCAACACCAGTAAGTATGTTTGAATTTTTTTTAAAATGCATATTTATAAAATTCAGAACAGATTTTATTTAAGCTTATCTGTATATTACTGCTGTAGTGCTAACAGGGCTGCTGTAAACAGCTATTGTCAATAGAATTTTCAAAAATTCAAAATTATTTTTATTAAATGTTTAACTAAGGCTCATGAGCCAGTCAGGGTAGAGAGTAACTGAATGAAGTGTTGTTCTTGGATTATTCGTAACTATTTTTACTTACTGTATAAGAATTATCATGAGTGAATGATTAGTCCTTTATCTGTGAATTCCTTCACAAATATATTGATTTATGGAAGATATAATATCATTGGAAAAATACAGAAATGCAAGTTTCCCTTATATTTTTGATGGGAGATATTTAATTACTGGAGCTTCTGTTTTATGAAATCCCAGTTCAACTTAGTAAATTTTATCATTTGCAATAGAAGTACTGCTGCAGGGTTTTCATTTTCCAGTCTCAATAGAGTTTAAAATGCTAGTGTCCAGTCTAGCCCATTATTTAATACATAGTTGTGCGAGAGGTTGAAGAGATAGATTCATACCTTTTCCAAGGGCATTAGTGTGAAAATGAATACCAGAATTCTAGCCCAGAATTTGAACTCGGCTCACTGCTACCACTGTCTGTTAAAAATAAGCATTACACTACCTGCACATCTTTATATAAATTATTATTTTTTATTATTTGCATTATGAAAAAAATTTTTTTTTTTGTTATTTTTTCTCCTTTGTCTAAGCTTAAACTTCTGCAAATTTCAGCTACAATGGGCATGGTCACTAAACTTTACAAATGTTCTTGTTAAATTGATGATCTCAAATAAACTTTGATCAGTTTCAGCTTAGAAAAAACTCTTACTCCTGGTGCCACAGAAACTGGGATTGCCAAGAAAATCTGAAGAACAATAAATTAATTTGGAAAGGCAGTAGACCAGTTCTTGTCAGCAAGGAATACAAGCATTTTCATGGTGTTCTGAAACTCTACTGACAGGATTGGCATTAGTACTTTTATTTCCTCATAAATCTAATAACTATCTACATCAGTTTTGTGGTTCTAAATTGTTCTTTTTTTCCTATGACAGTTTGACATCTGTCAGTGCCACTTCCAGATCTACTGTACCTTTTTGTATTGTGTTATTTGGTTGGTTTTGAAAAATTGCACAAGAATCCAAATAAAGTATCTGTCTATATTTCTGAAATGAGGTGTTATGTAAACTATTTACATTATTCAGACTATTGTCCTCATCTTTGTTACCATATTTATCACAATGTTTCGGCTATTGTATGCTCCGGCCTTCCAACCACTTGAAGAAGGCTGGAGCGTACAACAGCCGAAACGTTGTGATAAATATGGCAACAAAGATGAAGACAATAGTCCAAATGATGTAAATAGTGTAAAATCCAAATAAATTTTGATACTTTTTCAATTATTTAAACCATGGATTAAGTGTTTGCAGTGGTAATAAAATACCGTTATGCATTACAAATGAAAACAGAGACTGAATTTTTTTAATCACTTAACCCCAAGAAAGGTGATAAAACTACTAAAATGCAAAGGGTGACTGAGATTGAAGGTAACTGAGAAAATGTTACTGAGGAGAGAGACAGGACAATAAAAAAAAAGGATTCAAAGAGACGGAAGATGACGATTGATATTCCATTGAAATTTTTGAAGATCATAGTTGACAGAAACGCAGGAATCCAGAAGTGTTCCACAAGTGAGAAGTGTGAGAGAAGAAATTATTTACATGTAGCTTATGGTTACATCTAGCAATTTCAACATTAAAATGGTAGGACCTAGTTGCCAATATAGTAAACTCATGAGGTTGAGGTAATAAAAATGAAAGTTCATCAAAACAATTACCACAAAAGTATTTATAGAAAAGGCACAGGGAAGTTACATTATGGCGTTGAGAAAATGACTGATGTAACATTAGATATTATTCAACTTTAGATTTTATCAATTACTATTGACCAGTGTGTGTATGTGTTTATATGTGCGTGTATGACCCCATGCTCTCATCTGAACATGGATTGCACATTCTTATAAGCAATGCCTGAGAGAAACTGTCCTTTGCTTCATCTCAGGTTAGTATATTTCTGAGATGAGGTATTGTAATTATTTATGTTATTTGGACTGTTGTC